CTCGGGTTTAGCAATACCTTCCCACTTTCTAGATAGGTTTAGTTGAGGGAGGGTAGGGATTGAGTGGGAGGGGAGGGGATGGGCGTTGTAGGAGAATCTGCAAGTCAGGCCAGATGTGTGGGTCTTTGTTCCTTTGACAGTGGGTGGATTGGTAACAGGTGTGCTTTCAGGTTGGTGCAAATCTGCTAGACATAGGGCCGCATAAGCTAGTTGCTAACTCTACAAATTTGGGTAATGATTGGCTCTGACTAAATTGTTTTATTTGCTGAATTCCAATCTTTCCTTTCAGTGGAGACTTTCACCCATGTCCTTGCAAGCTCGAGCACTTCATCTCGGACGCATCAACGGACAACGTCAAAGCAGATTGGCAAGTATCGCGCATTTGGATCGGACTATCACGAGTTTGAGGCAGTTAGTTCCACCCTCCACGAATAAGCCCACTCCAGTAAGAATTTGAAAGAACTTATACTTATTTATAATATGATGAATGGATTATAGAGACTAACATAAAATGCAAGATCTTAGGGCTTTCCTGTCTTTGGTGGATGAAATGTGCTGAAATGTCATGACCCACCATCACAATTGAACAGCAATTTGGAAGGCAAGGCAAATTGTGTTCAGAATTTAGTCAGTGATTCAGGGAAAAAATTATGAAATATGATTATTTGAACATTCAGTTGTGAGCGATTCAATCAGTAGGTATCCTACTGATCCGAATCCGATAATTAAATGAACTTACTCTTTTCGCTGCCCTCATCATATTCCTTGTTGCAACCTACTTCGGTATCTTAACATTAGTAGATGCCCAAAGGTGAGAGAGATAAAACCTAGAAATTTCTTAAGCCAACCAATTAAGTAAATGCAAATCTCTGTTAAGTTAAGCTCAGTGTTCAAGATGTAACCATTGAAAGAAACAAATTCTAGACACGGAGATAGAGCTTTAATTTATACGGAAATCTGCAAGTATTAAAGATCAACTCTGCCGATTTTGGACAGTCAGACAATTTTTGCTGGTATTATTGAAATACTCTTATTTATTCGCGTTTTAGAAGACTGTCAACACCTTGGATGACATGGAGACTCTTTTGGAAGACGCTATAGTCTTTCTAAGTAAAATTGCCGAGGAACCAGAACTCGTTAGAGCCATTCGAGCTGAATACGCCTCCAGACAAAACGTTCTCGTACCTTCAAACAATTCAACTGAGAATCACTCCGTACAGAATCATTCATCGTCCAATAGCCACTCCAGTCCACCCAGTCCCCCTCGTGATATGGAAAATCTCTTCACCCTCTTCAAGTTGAAACGAGGTCTTGGTCAAAAGCGCCTTATTCCACGACGTATTTAGGACAAAAAACAAACATTTGTTTGTATAGCATGTTGTACATATTCATAATTTCGGTGTGTGCGTCCTTTGTATACCATTTTATTAATAAAATTGCTTATTTGACACAAGTAAGTCCAATTTACCTTGATTACACGTGCTAATGCAAAGGAATTTGATTTTGGGAAAGTATTTGGCAGAAGAGGTAAAAATCCCAAATCCCATTTTATTTATTAAACAGGGGATCTAGAAATAGTTATCAATTAAAATATTTATTAAAATTGATCGGAATTCTCGAAGCACTCAGTCCTCCCTTTACTCACCTCAAGAATATTTTCCTATGTAATCTCTGGTTGTTAAATTTACATATTATCTATGATGAACGAACAACCAGTCATGCCCACAGGTAGTGAAAGTTATTAATAATTATTATTTCAAATGGCAGGGTTTATGATAGCTATCATTAGCCTCTTAGTTGAAATGGTTTTCATATTGGGGGGTGGGAGCTTTTAGGACAGATAATAGTAGTTTATTAGTTGTCTTCTGGCTTCCCAGTATCTCTGGATTTCCGTCGTTGTCTTTTGGGCTGGACATCGAATTAGGTCACAGGGGGCATGTTGGTTGAGTGTATACTCCCAATCTATGAAGGTGTTTTGCCAAGCAATCGTGTCTGGTACGTAGTCTAAACTCAGCAACGGCATCGATTCTTGGCCAGTCGGGTATGTCGGGAGTGCCACTGTCCACTGTTTCTCCTTTGTTCGAGCTTTAAGTTCGTTGCACCTTGAGGTCTGGAATTCTCTCCTGATTAAGGCCTTCATTGTGTGGAAAGACATCGGGTGGTCCATGCATTGCAAAATCGTTGTCCCCTTCTTAGCAAGTGCTTCAGCAAGCCCATTGCCTTTAATGCCACAGTGACCAGGAATCCATTGTAGGACCACTGTTTTGTTTTTCTCTCTCAGCAGCCCATAGAGTTTTCTACATTCCTTTATCTCAGCTGTTTTGGGTGACCCTCTGTTTCCAATAGAGTTTATTGCTGACTGTGAGTCCGAAAGTATCACCGCCTTGGTGAATTTCGTATCTAGGCAACATAATTGGCATAGTGCTATCCTAATGGCCTCCATTTCTCCTTCAAAAGCGGATCTATCGTGTTCCACTGCTGCGTAGAAAGAGAAGAGTTCGGAATAGACACCTGCACCAACGTTTGCTTGGTTTTCTATGTATGACCCATCAGTGAAGACTTGGAGCCATTGATCTACAGGATAGTTGACATTGAATGTCTCAAGGGCTAGTGAGCGCATTTGTTCCGGAAGGGTGTTTGATTCCCTGAAGAAGTCAAGCAGCTGGGATATCTGGTGGAGGTGTAAAAGTTATGAGGACTTTAAGATCATGATTTGACCTAGATTGGAACTATACAGGAATGTAAGAACATACCCTTAAATCTAGGGTCACTAACTTGATCATAGAACACATGCCGATGGAGCTGGTTATCGGGATTCTAAGATCCAATTATTGGCATTTTTACACGTTTTTAGAGTGAAAGTCTCTTTATGATAATTAAAGTACCCGAATGTTGCCGTAAGCCCTTGGTATATTGGCAGATTCGTTTAAGCCACTTTGAATCAACCTACACGTAGAGAAGAAGCTGCGTAAATACTGTAGGAGATGTGTTGATTGGACAATAAACCTAGTGACCCCAATTAAAATATTTTTTTTAACATTTTTTGTCTACTGCTTTATCAAATCAACAGGGGTGCGCCATAGACTTACCCCCACGTGATGCACCCTGGGTAACGTATACTTATACGGCAAAAAAGTCTATTGATCGGCAGTTGACTTCTGACTTCAAATTTCTATGGCCCTAATATTTTTCATATTCGACCCCTTTCACAGTACTCATCTTACCTTTTTCTGCCTTTGTGTCTGTCTGTTTCTTTTACCTCTGTGAATCATTATTCTGTCTCCCATCTCGACTTTTTTCACTTTGATGTCCTTTCTCCTCTTCATGAGGCTAATGATGATTATCAAAACACCTGCTATTTGATATAAATAAATAAATAAATAATTCAATCAACAAAGGAGAATTTTTTCAAGTGAATATATATTTTATTTGTTCATTCAATTACACGAACAAGTGGTAATCTGAGAGCCGAATCTTTATTTTTCACCGTAGAAGAGTTAATTTTCAAAGTAACAATACACACGTGGCTTTGCTGCAAGATCAAGCGGAAGAGTGCATTTCAATGCTCATTTCATTGTGCTAAAAGAGAATGTATGGTATCACTACGTTAAATTCTTTTTTCATTTTCTTTTGTTTGCTATTATTTTCAAAAGTGACATTGTTTATATCAATTATTTATTATTTATTTATATTAAATGGTAGGCGTTTTGATGGTTATCATTAGCTCATTAGTTGACTTCAGGCTTCACAGAGAGGAGAAGGAACATCAAAGTGAAAAAAAGTCGAGAGGGGGGGGGGGAAGAGAAGGGTGTTTCAAAGACGAAGGTTGAAAATTTAGAAAAAATGTGATGTAGTACTGTGGAAGTGGTCGAATATGTCATACAGCGGGGTCATGGTAGTTTGAAGTCAACTGCCAGGTAATATACTTTTTTTGCCGTATGAGTATACGTTGCCCAGGGTGCACCAAGTGGAGGTAAGTCTATCGTACACCCCTGTTTGCATCGACAATGTTCACTCAAATCACGAACAAACTTCTTTCAAACGGTAAGCAATAAGATCCGCAGTAATTGCAATTAATGATTATAGTGTATATTGTGTTTTAGTCGACGAGACTTCAGAATATCTTTCATATATCCATGAATTTGTTGTTAAAAGCACTCCATTTCCAAGTGGCATGACTTTTAACCTTGATTGCTTACCTCAAAGTGAAACTTGGAGAATAGAACGATTTGGTTAATTAAAAATTTTTTGGCAATATGACGGGGCTGAAAATTTTAGGAACTTTTCGTTATGGAGAAACATGCGAACATCTTGGGAAGTTAGGTTCACCAAGATAGATGCTGCGAAATCGTAAGTTAAAGTTTCTAAGACATGTCCTTTCTTATCATTTTACTACTTATTCGGAAACGTTGAGTGGCAGGTTTCGGTTTATTTGTTGTAGGATCTATCCTCCTGAACAAAGAAGTCAATCTGCCGACAGATGACTGACGATTAGTGATTATCAATCTACCACTTCCCTGTCTTTTCCATTTCATTTGTAAATAGTCGATGACACTGCGAATCCGCGCATATGATTTCTGTTTCGCACAGCTTCCAGTTACTATGAGATGCAAGCTATTTATTGAATTTATAGACCATCCAAATGCTTTAGTGGCATGCTCATGCAGAATGTTTTGACACCCAAACTAATGAACTGGTAAGGTCGATCGCTTCTAAGATAGAATAGAAAAGCTGGATTTGTGCCCATCACCCCTTCATTCCTCCTTGCCAAAAATGGAAGCAGTTTCAAAAAGTAGTGGTGACAGACAAAAAATAGAGTTCATTTGCCATTTTACAAAAAGTTCTATTCTACCGCTTTGCTCTGCTGATTTCATTTGTATTTAGAAAAGTTCAACTTCAAATAGAAGAATATTTGTTTGCAGTAACTAATAAGTTGGTACGTAAATACAAACTTTCAAATATTGACAATGGAAACTTTCGTTTCCACCATTCCTATTATCACAGTACCAACATCGAGCTTAACGGAGATCACTGAGTTGTGGACACTAAATACTCTCTACCGTTAGAATTCTGAAGATTAGCTGATTTGAACAATAAGCCAATAATATCCATCGTAAGATCCTGTTCACTTTTGAAAACAAGATTCAAAGAAAATAAGAGCGCTGAAACAAAATGAGAGGGAAATAGGTAAACGCTGCTACAACATTTTCACAGTTCATTGAAAATGAATGTAATTTGATTTTACTTTCTACTTTTTTACGAAGTCATAATTTCCTCAAATAACCAACAAATAGAATGCATTTTCTTTTATTCAGTCAACATCTAATCATTTCATTCGAAAGCTAAGTTAATAGCTTCAAACAGAATAGCAATAGCCAATTGAATCAAGTATGTGAGAAATTTGGTTCATGTCAAACAGATTCTTAGTTATCGGCAATTACTTAAAAATTTTCAAATTCTTTTCATTCAGCACGTGGTAGCAGCTTGTAAAGCAACTCGTGGTTGCTTCAACGCATGTAAAAAATCGATAACAGAAGTTTCAGTTCACTCGATTTAGGGTGCAATTGGAATTATTGATCTAAAAAATCGATATTCATTCAGATTAAGAAATGTTTGCATAGTCAAATATCATAACCAAATGCAAATGGAAAAGTCCGAGATCCTTTTCGTTGATGTTCCCACTTTTGAAGAAATATTAATAATTTTTGAAACAGCAATTCCAGCACACTAGTAAAATTAGTAATTCATTCGGATTAGTAAAATATATTAAATACAATAATGAAACGAGCGACATGTGAAAGGTAATCTAACAAATGTAAATAAAACAAAAGTCAAAAAAGCGAATGTAAATAAATACAATAAAAACACTCGCTTAGAATAAAATCGAATTTTCTATTAAATCAAAAGTCACATATTTTGTTTTTCAGTATTACGAATTGAAACCATTTTTTGGTCCGAATCAGATGAAATTTTCAAGAAAAAATAAATGACACTAAAACCCGGGAGCCACTGAGTCACATTGACCTGCCAAGTAAGACGATTTTTAAAATGAACACGAATGTTTTGAAAATGAAATAAACTTGCATAAATTCGTATTTAATGAAAATAGTCAACTTAAATCAGTTAGGCTTTTCGACCCTACTGTACTAAATCGGTAAACGCTTGAGTTCTAATTAGGTTAATCTTGCTTTCATAACAATTGGAAAAAAATTAATTGGATTGGCGAAATCAATTATCACAATTAAAACACTGAAGGGTAAGCACTAAGCATGCCATTGGAAAACATTATCGCAACCCATCTATAAGTAGACATTTCGAAGCGAGAACTTTCAATCTGGTAAATAAT